GATGATGAATATAATATTAGACTAGTAGCTACTGGTGAAGACTTGCCTAGTGAAATAATCACTGCTACTGTTCCTCAAGGTTGATCTACAATGTACTAATGCATCTTATTAATAAATCTTTTTAGTTGTCAGTATTGAAGTACAAGGTCCAGTTATGATGCCAATACATCATTCTTCTTCCTTTTCATTAACCTGTACATTGACGTTAGCTCTTGAAGTGAATGATACTATGGTACAAATGCACTGGGTAAATCCTGATTTTGTTCCATTCAATTCTATAAGTGATGGAAGCATAGTTTTGAATACTTTAGAGCCTACAATGACATCAGCTATTGATAGTGTTGTATATACACTTACTCTTAACTTCAGTTCATTGCAAGCATCACAAGTTGGAGAATATATTTGTGGAGCTTCACTGAATGATGGTACTAATACTAGTAATGTAACATCAAGTTATTCTGTAGATGTTCAAGGTACGTATAAATAAGTCATAATTATATTTACATTTTTGTTCATACAATGTAGTACCTACTCCTGTGGTCATATCTAGTCTCAATACAACAGGACGTATTTTTGAGAGCAATGAAATTCAGTTATTATGTACAGTCACTATTACTCTACTGGATGTTGATCAAACTGTTAACGTTAGTTGGTTTGGACCTAATGGACTCATTACAATGAATGATGCTAAGTATAGCATTAGTACAGGGATAATCAACTCAACTACTAATGAAAGTAGCTTAACATTCACTGCATCTCTATCAGATAATAGAACTGATTACTATTGTACTGCTAGTGTTGGACCTGCTAGTACTGTGAACAGGTTTGAACTGATTATACCATCAGATACTGTTACATCAACTAGTACTACTATTATGTTTCAGAGTAAGTTGTAATTTGCTAGCTATGATAAAATTCAATTTTTTCTCTTTTAGTTGTGCCACTACCAATAATTTCTTTTAATGATGTTGGTATTCCAGTAACAGGAGATTCATTCCAGTTAGTGTGTACTGGAACTGCACCAGCTAATGTATCAAGTATTGCTACTGTTAGTGTTCAATGGCTTCTTAATGGTACTGTGTTTACTAATGATACACTGGAAGGAGTCACTGTTACTAATAGTGGGTCTATGGCCACATTATCATTCAGTTCTCTTATTGCTTCCACTCATGAAAGAGATGATTATACTTGTGAAGCTACTCTTAGTATTTCTGATGTACCAACAACTAAAACAGCAAGCATTATGTACAACTTCCTGACATTAAGTAAGCATACGATTGTATATTAAACTATGTTTCTTCTGCTCTCTATTTTTAGCTAATCCTTTTGTTTTTATATATTCAAGTCAACCTGTCTTTGCTAATCAATCATATTCATTAAACTGTACTGTCACAATAGTGGCTGGAGACCTTAATATAGCATGGCTTGATGGCAATGGAAATGAACTGACAGAAGGAAATGGAATAAGTTTCAATTCAGTTGCTCTTTCTGATACTGAACGAGGATATGATTTGACATTTAATTCACTGAACTATTCAGACATTGGAGTGTACACTTGTAAAGCTAGTCTTAGAGTTGATAGAGGTGGTGTTCTGTTTAATGGAAATGGTTCTGCTAATACAACTGTTAGTATAAGAAGTAAGTAAAATTTATTATTATAGTTTCACCATTTATAATTTATACTTGCACATACAGTACCTATACCACAAGTATCTATATCTCCTGGTGATAATTCTCCTTTTATTCGTGGAACTGTTAGAACTGTTAGCTGTTCTGTTGTTTTCACTCCTCCTTTACCTACTAATCCTAATGTCTCATTTACTGTCTTCAAAGATGGTGCTCAAGTATCATTTGAGAACAGTTCCAAGCTAATAGCAGTTCAGACTAAAACTACTGGTGCTCTTACTTTTCAACCACTCAATTTCTCTGATGCTGGTAATTATACATGTACTGCTACAGCAAGAGATAATGCTAATAATCCATTAATAATACCAAGCAGTGCTTCTGATGAATATATTGCTACTGTACAAGGTATTTCAACTTAAAATAAAAATAATTGATTGTAGTGCATATGATATTA